TATTTATCCTGACAATCAGTGACTCTCCAAGGTTACAGGAGAAGGCCTTCCCATCATCCTTTTAACTAGAAGTTCTGGGGACTGTGGAATAATTTTTTATGTCCCATGCATGTAGCATAATTTGCTTAAACGATGCCAACATTCTGCAAGTACCTCTATACACACTACAACATGCCTACTTGTATTCGTTTTCTCACACCCTAATCCTAACTGTAACCTTGTTATGAACACAAGACCAGATGAATATCTAAGTATCAAGAAACATGTCACAGAGCATGCCCTCAACATTATTTATTACATTGATATGATAAAGAGTCTTAGATAACATAGATCAGATCTCACCATCTTCCATCCAGGCACTTAACAGCTTCATAAAACTTTAGGAAATTGCTTCAACTTGTAAATTTAGTTAGTGTCCTGGATTGAGTCTATAGCATGGTTCCCCCTCCACACACACACTTGTGTGTGTGTGGCTCTTGGTATCCACCAGGGTTTGGTTTCAGGATCCCCTGTAGATTCCAACATCCATGTATGCTGAAGCCCCATTATGCATGATGGCATAGTAAAATTATGTCACTTAAATAAAATGGCAAAATCAAGATTTGTATTCTGGAATTTTATTTTTAAATATTTTCAAGGCAGGAATAATAGCTGAGAGATTTGGCAAGCGGTCATCCAAACAAATAACTTTTTCAAGTTCTGGATTTTCTCCAAGTATTCTGGAAAGCAAAGGGATAGTCGGTAGAGATGGCAGCATAGCTTCTAGCTGTCAGCCTCTGTAGCCTTACCATCCCAGCCTATGTGGTACAGAATATTTAACTCAAATACTGCAAGATATCTACTTCACAGTTCTCTTTTCTCTGTATAATTCGAAGGAAGTACAAGACATTTAGCAGATGTTTGACCCAGGGATTCTCCCTTGATTGTTCTGCCTTTCATCAATAGTTTTATTTATTTATTTGCTTACTTACTTACTATTTTTATACCCTGCCCTCTCTCACCCCGAAGGGGACTCAGAGCAGCTTATTTCTTCCTGCCATAATTCTGGGAGCATTGAAACTAATGTGGGGAGATGGGAGGTTGGGCATGCACCGCTATGAAATACTTGAAAGCTTTCATAGCACATTGGTGCTATACAATTTGATACAGAATGGCTAGATCTTTGTATAGATTTTTGTTCTCATTTTTCACAATATGCAGTATTTATAGGAGCAGATAAGAAAGAAAGGGGAATGAGGAAGGAAAGGAAGGAAGGTAGATCTGGCAATCCATGCTGAAAACACTACACAAAAATTAAAAGTAAATTGTAAATACTGAATCCAAGTCATCTATATGCAAACTCATTGCTCAGAGCCCAGTATACACACATCACGTGAAGCCTGCTTGGCATGTAAGCCACAGAATGGATCCTTCTTTGCCTTCAACCCCAATCATTCACTGACAGCCACTGCACTTCTTTTCATTAACTATTCAGATCATGTGCTGAGGCTTCTCAGAAACCAATCTCATGCACATTAGTCCTGATTGTTGTGTGGCTAAGCAGGACTCAATGCCTGGAGTACAATAATGAATGAGAAAGCTCCAAGTTGTTTCCAATACAGCCAGGGAAAGCTGAATATCCTAAGCTGTGTGCCCAAGAATTTGCTTTCTAATTTGACACCACAGCTGGAATATACACTCATTTTACATTAGGAACACTTTTCCATAAAACTGCACAAGTGGATATGCAATTCCGTGGTGGGAAATCAGAGCTCTATAAGGTGTTCCAGCTCCCAATTCATCAGCATGACTGAATCTTTTCACTTGCCGCAACTGGGAATATGGATGTGGATTTGAAAATATGAAGGAATTTAGCAACACAGGTCTGCTGAAATTCCTGGGCACTCAAATCAATAACAGCAAAATTCCTACCCATCTGTAATGAGAAAAGGGAAGCACTTAGAAAGAACTCATGTATCCTGCACAGCATTTTGTTTCTTTTTTATAGTTATGCATCACCTTTCCTGCAACAAGCACAAAGTAGAGCCCTTGTGGTCTCTTCCAACTCTATGATTTCATGTCCCAACTCATCTCTATCTTATGCCTACAAAAATCCTGAGTAATATGGCCTGGCTTAAATTGACCTCTATGAGTGGAACCTGAATCTGCATTCTTTTTGAGGATTGAAACTTGGTTCTCCCAAGTCCCAGATAAATACTGTACTTTAGCCACTAAAAAACCCTATACCAAAGTAATGAAGCTAATAATTTGCATCACCTAGAAGGCATGGCCAACATGCTCACCAGCAAGGCAAGGCAAAGTTTTCTTAGCTATTCATTTTATCTGCTACGAGAATAAATTCAGTGCAGAAATCATGTTCCAAATAGCAATGAAGCATTGCTCTGCAACAGTTTAATTTCATAGGAGAGGCCTTGGACTAGGAAAGCTGTCCATGATTTTTTTTTTAAATGCAGAAACAATCAAAATGGTAACGAAGGCTGCCTGGCCCTGTCCCAACTAGGGTAATTCCATGCTGCAGACACTAAACTCTTGCTGTGTCTGCAACTGGATACCGATTCATGTAGCCTCATTTTTTGGCAATCCAGTATGCTTCTCTCCCTTAAAAATCTACTAACTCCAGTATAGGGACTTCAGACATTCCAAACTTCTGGATTTCCATTCCAGAAGGCCCAGCTATCATAGCCACTAGCAAAGGGATTATGTGCACTGTAGCTGGAAACACCTAGAATATCCTGCTCTAGGCTTGGGGTCTGCCAAACATGCATGCTTTATAAACATCATTTCTTCAGCAGGCCTCTGCCATTCTTCTTTAGTACCTTTAGTTTATACATATTTTAAAGTGATAGACCTGGATGGTATCACAGCACAAGAAGAATGTTATACCTTTAGATTAGTTAGAGAACATGACACATAAAAAAATTCTTAGTATTTTTATATAAGATCTTCTCCACTTCCATGGCAAGATATTTATCAAAAGGAATTTGGGATATTCCTAAGTTATCTATATTGTATTTCGAAGGAGGTTCCTCTCACCGTTTAAGCGCAAAAGCCAAAAGAGAACAGAGTGAAAACAATACAATGGAGATGAAGCTCTCAATTGCCCCTCCGCCTTAGATCACAATACTAACATGTCCCTTTCTTCTTTCATTTTGGAGAATTAGCCAACCTCATATAGCTCTGTTTTCTTGAAGCTGTTTACAATTGCTTCCCCAGAAACAATGGAACGGCTTTCAGGAAATTCCAAATACCCAATGAATACATTCCTAGAGATATTGCTCTCTACGATCAGGATATTGAAAGAAGATCCACTTCTCTATCAATGTACCCACAAAATCTCAATTCTTGCCCACAGCCCCTATCTTCAGAGGTTTGGCTGCCTAAGACAGGCAATAAGACCTTTGCAGTAGTGACTTCAAGATTATAGAATATCTGCCCTTGGAAACTCCAACTGGCAGTGAAGAAAAATTCCATTTAACAGGTTGTTTAAATTACTCTTCTCCTGACTCTCATGGTTTGCTTAATTGTTTTTGCTGTTTCTTTCAAGTCTCTATTTTATTAGCTCTATTACTGTGTTTTACTGCTATTGTTTTACATTTAATAAGTATCATTCTGAAACTCTCGTATATTTATTTTAAGAACAAAACATTCCTCATAGATTATGGGCACAAGTTCTTTTTCACCTCAAGAACTTCATTCCCTTGCAGTCCACCTGCCAACTAACACATGCCAAGAGTGAACAGGCCAGGGAAGGAAAGTTTAAGTTTCCCCACCTCACTCACTATAACCTTCAAAGTCACACAAAAGTAATGAGGCTTGACAAAAGGACTCATGTTGGAACTGAACGCTCAAGTGAAGTGTGTGCACACATGTGTCTGTGTGTGATAATGAGAGTGAGATAAAAGGTTTGCATTATGATTGTGTTTTATGAATGGGCACAATTGACGAGAGGAGGGCACAGGTTGCATGCAAGCACTGAGCCACTGTTTGCCTATCCATGCCATAAGCTCTTTCCATAGAAGCTCCATATAATGAGATGTAAAGAGAGGGTACAATATAGCTTCAGAAATAAATGTAGCAAGAAAAGGGCTATATTGATTATTATATTTCCCTGTTTGTATGCATTCTGAATTAAGTCCAAAAAGAAGGGAAAATCCATATAATAACCAAAGACGCATGTCTTTATTCTGTGCCAGCATCCGGATGCCAATCTGGTGGCACAGTGTAGAAAGCCTTGCATCTTTGTTTCTTCTTTAGTTCTTTTGGCATGTACCCAAGATCTTCTGTTCCTCTGATATACTTTCAGAACTTCAGTAACAACATCAAGCAAAGTGGTAAGCTACACTGTCAAGACTGATGGGTGGCAATGTTATGAGTTTCAGGAAAAATGAAAAAAAGTTCCACCACCCATCCAAGACCTTACTTTATCAACACACAAAATTTGTATGAGTAACTATAATCCACATTAAACTATGTAAATCATGTTCTGGTTTTTCAATTTATAACCATCTGTTATGGTTTCCCAAATGTATCCTTTATGAAGTGATCTTTTGTATTCACTGAACTTTGAAGCTATGGAGATGGCATGTCTGAGGAATTTAGGCAAAACAACAGATTGTTGGGATATCAGAGGGAGTAGTCTATGTGGCTGACACCGAGATGTGCAACACGTAAGTTGCCACCACCTTTCAATTATGAAGCTCACTAAGACAAATTGAAAATGTCACTCCTTCTCTATGCTTTTTATGAGACTAATCTGATTCCATTACTCCAGAGTGTTGCAGGAAAAGTGCTGACTCCAAGTATGTTACATCTGTAAATGTTTTTAATTGTGATTCAACATGCTTTTATGTTTTACTTGTATTTGTTTACTGCTTTTAGGTGCTATTTTTTCACACGAAGTCAGGACATGAGTTCAACAGATGGACTGCTAGACAGACACATAGTGAAAGGAAGTAGAACAAAAAAATAATACAATAATACCCCCAAAACATGGCACTTACCTCCTTCAGCTTGTCCATTTCATTCTGAAGAACTTGCTTAGCCAACTCGCTCTCAATGAGTCGCTGGCGCAGGTCCTCATTCTCCTCCTCCAGCTTAATTCGCTTTTTCTCCACTGCCTCAAGTTCATTATGAAGTCGTACAGAGACATCTTTTGCTACCTGCAAACACAACAAAGGATATCATGGAGATCCACCCTCAAACCAAAAGTATAATGGCCAAGTTCATTACCATGATACAACAGCAGTATATAGAGTCAACCACCTTTAGGTTCATTGTTTTGATCCAGGGTATATCTCTACTTCTTGAGTACTTGCACTAGGACAATGATAGTTTTCCTAATTTGTGGCCTTTAAAGACTGTTGGACTGCAACTCCTCTCTTCCATCACCACTAGTTCTGCTGGCTAGAACACATGGGAACTGCAGTCAAAGATCATCTGAAGAGCCGTGCATTCTCTGTATTAATTTATAAAGATTTTCTTCCACAATATGCACTTGTAGGATACACTTACATCTTAAGCAGAAGTGAACAAATGCTTCACAATAATCTACTACTGATGGCTGTCTGTGACAGATTAACATGGGTTCCTATCTTTGAACTTCTGAAAAGGAGCAACCCCAAAGCCCTTTCAAGCTTTCTCAAAACTAATTACTGAAACAAAGAAAAGTTGGGGGTTTTATATAAAAAGTACCCCGAGAGCTTAGCTGTGGTAGTAAAAAAAAAAAATTCCTGGGTGACCTTGTACCCAGAAGTACCCTTCACCCTTATTCCACGAAGCACACATCTCCCCAGTGAATCTTCATACAAAAGCATAACACTATAGTTGTTGGTTCTTACATATACAGGTCAATTTAAAGCATGTTAAGCATACTAACATGTGCCCACTGCTGTTTTAGAGCATGCAGTGCAGCAACTAACCAAACTTTACTTCTCAACCTCTGAGGATGCTTGCCATAGATGCAGGCGAAACGTCAGGAGAAATGCCTCTAGAACATGGCTCTATAACCCGAAAAAACCCACAAGAACCTAAACTTTACTCCATTTGTATGATTTTAAACCCAAGTCTTTAATTAATTTACACCCCATTGTTAGAATAGACCCATTTTTAAAGAAGACAAACTGCCTCTGCCCATAGCCTAACACAGGGGTTCTCAACCTGTGGGTCCCCAGATGTTTTGGCCTTCAACTCCCAGAAATCCTAACAGCTGGTAAACTGCCTGGGATTTCTGGGAGTTGTAGGCCAAAACACAGGTTGAGAAACACTGGCCTAACAATTTACAAAGCACAGAGGTCAAGAGAAGGAAGGCTAAAATATATCCGGATTAATGACACTGAATTAATACAGACAGGTTTAAGATTAAAATATGAAAAGACACCTAGACAGAAATTCTACAGGTTCCATGGAAGCTTTTCTATCCACCATTACCAACCCACTTCTACCATGATTACAGAACTGTTTTCCTCTCTTTATGAAGGGCTGAAAAATCTTGTGAATATACAGTGCCTTACACATTTTAATAAGAAGCAAATGCTGAATGGAGTAGGAGAAGTGGTTCATATGTTGTTGTTGTTGCGTGTCTTCAAGTCATTTCCAATTTATGGTGGCACTAAGGTGAAACTATATAGTGTTTTCTTTGCGAGGTTTGTTCAGAGAGGGGTTGCCATCACCTTCTGAGACTGAAAGAATGTGACTTGCGCAAGGTTAACCCAGTTGGTTTCTGTGCCCAAATGAGGATTCAAACTTTGATCTCCAAAGTCATGGTCCAATATTCAAACTACAATACCATGCTGACTCTTAACTCATGCTTCTAGATAATATTGAAAAAGGTCATGGAAATCACCAACAGGGGAACAAATGAGCAGTGCCTACACTTAATATTTGTATCTTGCCAAATTTGCACAATAAACCAAAGTATGGAGAGAAAAAATCACTTGTACTTCCACTTGGTTCTCTCATCCCTGGAGTACCGAAGTGCCCATCAGTATTCTGCTGAATTATTCTTTTATGCTTTGCTGCACAGCCTAAGAAGAAAATGAGAGCCTTTCCAGAACAGATCCTCTGTCTACAACAGTGCTATAAACATCAGCAGCTCTGGTTGTGGGAGATAAAATAAGTGTCATATACATGATATGCTTACTGTGGCACCAGAAGTTTTCAAATATGCGTGTCAGCATGCTTCAGAAAAGAACTCTGACCATGAATTATGGGAAATATAAATGTAAATCTCTCTCATCAATGCATCAAGCTGTGTCAAGGTCACCTCCCATAATTTCTTTCAGAATCCACAAGCAAAGAAGCAAGGGAATGAAAGCTGGCAGTGCCACATTACCCTCTGATTAAAGGGAAGAATATGGACCAAAGGTTAAAGGGGGTTGTTCAAAGGGAGGTTGCCATCACCTTCTTCTGAGGCTCAAAAAATGTGATTGTCCAACGTTAACCCAGTTGGTTTCTGTGCCCAAACAGGGATTCAAACTCTGATCTCCAGAATCATTGTACTAGACAAAATAGCCTAGACAAAATGCTGTTCACAGATGCTAACATCAGCAGCCCCAAAAGCGGATTTTAGTGTCAATAGCCACTGCTCTGACAGCAATGACTGGGTGCATAACAAAACACACCTTGTTGTGAAAGGAAAAGAAAATTCTAACAAAACTTGGTAACAGGGTATAGAACAGGGGAGGCAAAGGAGTGCTTGCGAAGGCCTTTGCAGTCTCTCAAACACCAGCTCCCATGCAAATATAGTGTCTTGTTCTTGTATCACCAATCTAAACCTGTCCAATATGCAATTGGGCATTTTTGAGCTGTTTTCCAGCTGAGAAAGGTGGTCAAAAGCAATGTCACTTGGCAAGTCAGGCATGTAAATAGCAGGCACTTTCTAGTGTGACTGAGGACTCTCAGTAGTGAACAATGGTTCTCACCATTGCTCAGTTGTAACACAATATGGAGACTGTAATTGAAGCATAGCCAGAAAACCTACTCAAGTCACCTTCTACGGCAATTCCCTTTGAGAACCTTGACTTGTGTGGACTCATGATAATCTAATATGAACAGTCATTTACACTGGAGATGATGTAGTTCTGGTCTACTACAGTGGTAGCATGCAGCGCCCTCTCCCTGGCACACCATCACCTGTCCCCACTCACCACCTGCCCCTGCTGACTCGGCCATTTGTCCCTTGTTCACTCGCCACTCACTCACCACCTCCCCACTCCCCACCCCGGTTTGGAGCACTCTATCTCTAAAAGGTTCACCATCAGTGGTCCAGTATATCTTGAAGCCAGTTACTATAAAAAGAGTAGGCTAATGTGACAACTATTAAATATTCATTTCTTTATTTCACTTTTATGCTGCCTTTCTCCCAGAGTGAGTCCCAAGGCAACTGGCAAAATAAATAAATAAAAACACAAAAATTATATGGGAGGAAATTAAATGAACGCTGAGAAGCTTGAACTGAACTTCCAGGCATTTGAACACTCTGGATCTTACTTGGACTAAGAGGACTAGATAAAAATGTCAGAATTGAGGCATGGTACAATTTTAACATTTGTTTTGTGAAGTCTGGAACCCTGAAGGAAGGCCCTTCCTTTAACAGCACAGATATCTCCAAAAACATATGTAAACACAGGAAGCTGCAAGTAATGCCACAATGCTGATTAACTCAAAAACACCATTTAGCAAAATCAGAGGAATGAATTCTAGCCTCCGGGGGCAGTCAGCGCTTGACCTTTTTAGCAATAATGTGCTCACAATATGGCTCTGTTTGATAACTGGAGTCATGGGTATTATTTTATCACATCCTATGGAAAAAAATAGAGATTGAAAAAATGTAATTACCATAATTCCCCCTTTCTCTCTAAAAAAAGACAGGATATTTCATTTTATCATGGGGGGGGGGGGAACAAACAGGAAAATTTTAGCCATATATGGCATCGAATTGTGCCGACTTTGTATGCCGCCCTGAATCCCCTTCGGGCTGATATGGGCGGGCTAGAAATAGTGTAACTAAATAAAATAAATAAATAGTAATTGCTCAGAGGTGGTTATGTCAGGTTTCCCCCCTGAAATGTAGACTATACTACATGTTATTTATTGATGCTCTCCCATCCAAGTACTAACCAGGCCTGACCCTTCTTAGCCTCACAAATACAGCCACAAATACAGCCTATAATACAGCCTGTTTCTTTTGCTTTATTCCCCTATGTAATACGCCATTTCTCTTATTGTACATACCTTACAAGTTTTTCAGATTAAATATTTTTGCTGTTTTATTTCTTTTTACAGACCTTTCTTCTCCATCTGATTAACTACTTCAAATTGGTGAGTTAAGAGTTGGTACCTGATCCCTTTGAGCGTAAACCAGGCTTCCTCTAAGCTCAATCTGGGGGGAGGGGTCTATTTATGACCAAAATACATAAAGAGTTTTTCCCAAGAAACAGAAATTAAAAAATCACTGATTGCCAAACTATTAACAATTGTTTAATAAATACAGCTAGATCTAGGAGATTTCAGAACCCAACCATGCTAAATCAACACTGGTGTTTAATGGTTTAATAAATTGTTTATTGCAGAAATAATTAAAAAGGTTTTAACATCAGGATGTATAAATTATCAAGCATGAGTTATTAGTGTATTATACCATGTCTTAAATAGTGTGTTCCCTTAATTCATGCAAACAAAATTTGAGCCACATTATAATACAGATTTAACCCTGATGCACCAGAATGCAATATTTTAGTTCCCCAGAGTCACATTTTGTAACAGAATCCAAACAAAGCTAGACCTACAATGTAGACATTCTGTGATACATTTGTTAATAGAAGCATGCTTTGGCATTAGTCATGAATGGAAGAAAATTCTACTGAAGAGCACTTATAAGCAAATTTCCAAATATGATAGAAGTCTCAGGAAGCAGGCAATAAGAATAAAATACCCAAGCCAATAATCAAAATTATAATATTTAAGATGGAGACCCAATGTTATCAGATCCTGTCTGATTCGGGAAGCTAATCAGTCAGTTCTGGTTAGTACTTGGATGGCAAAACCATCTCTGAATATTACCTGCCTAAGAAACCCCTACGAAATTTATGGGATCACCATAAGTCAACAGGTGACTTGAAGGTACATACTGAGAGGGAGATGCACTTCACTCTTTGTCAGG